TCCGAACACTGTATACCCGGTTGACAGACTCCATGACAATCGCAGCATAATTTATGAGGATCCACTGGCAAAAATATGTGGCGGCACTTCATGCAGGCTGGACATTTGGCTTGGTCCTTACCCATATCTATATGCAATAAGTGCCCCCAACCCGTATTCTCTGTCAGATTAAATCCTCCTTGGGGCACTTATTGCATTTTCCTTGCTCAAGAAAATCTACATGACATAGTTGTAACCATTTTCCTTAATAAAAAATGTTACCACACAAAAAACTTTGTTTTTGTATGATATACGACCACCCTTACGGGGCCTCACCCTCCACGGCGCGTCACGCCAGGGGGAGCAGCTCTCACCCAAATCACTTTCCTTATGTCATCTGTATAAGACAGATGTGCTGTTTTTTCAAGAGACAAAAAGAGTATAAGACAAGAACCATGGCTGACCACAATGTATGTACCCGCTAGCAGAGGATAGTGACTTTGAGGTACAAGTGGTCGATGAATGCGTTTGGACTTCCGTTACCCTGGGGGGAAATCTTTGACCCCCAACTTGACTAAGGTAAAGCAGGGCCGGCGGTTGCCCCCCCTTTCCCGCGTGACATGCGGAGTTGAAGGCTGCTTACATATGCTTCGAGGAGCAATATCGTAATGCATGCCAACAGCCCCGTGTGTCCGTACACTCCGCTTATCTGTCGGCTGTACAAAGGGAGTTAGCGGGGGAGGGGCGCAACTAACGGAAGTTCATACTCATCTTGCGCGGGATGCTATTCGTAGCTGTGCCTCACAGATGATGTGCGCTGTTATGAGTATGCGCAAGACCTCCTTGCTTTGCCTTATAAGATGGGTGCCACCCTCTTCCCCGGGGCTCAGCAGGTGGTCCGTGAGGCCGCTCAATTGTATGCTTCCATCAAGGACTCTAAGGTCTTGTTGGAGGTACCAAGTGTTAAACCGCATAAGCGGACCTCTCCATTTGACTCCTCCTACACTGACGCGCTGGGTCAGAAGTCCACGCCTGCTTGGAAGCAGCCGCTTCCTTCAGGTAAGGGCGCCGGGAGGAGCAAGAGAGGCAGGGCCTGGGGCAAGGCAGCTGGTGGAGGCCAGCAGCCTTTTCGCAGGGCCGGGAACCCATCGGGTTCCCATTAGCGCCCGAAGAGCTCCGGGTGGACCCACAGTCGCAACTTCACGAACTGCCGACAGCCGGGGTCCACTGCCTCAAGCCGGATGTCCCCGTAGGCGGCCGACTGAAGGAATGGGAGACAGTTACATCCAATCCCTGGACCCTGTCCACTCTAAGGGATGGCCATTTGCCTCGGTGGAAACATCATCCGACCCCCTTCTCCGGGATAAAGCACACTCCGGTGCCTGCTACCCGAGAGAAGGCGGAATTCCTCCGTGCCGAGGTCGACGCACTTCTTATGAAAGCTGCGATCGAACCGGTTTCCGTGGGACAGGAAAGCGAGGGCTTGTACTTGACATATTTCCTAGTCACCAAAAAAGACGGAGGGTTCAGGCCTATTCTCAATCTGAGAAGGCTGAACAAACTTATAGAGGTACTGTCCTTCAGGATGGAGACACTGTGCTCAGTGAACTCAGCTGTCGAGACAGGAGAATGGCTAACGTCAATAGACCTCAAAGACGTCTTTCCCCACGTACCCATACACCCCGAGTTCAAGAAATACCTGAGGTTTTCTTTCGACGGGAAGTGTTATCAGTTCAGGGTTCTACCATTCGGGATCTCCATCGCCCTGAGGGTGTTCACCAAGTTGATGTTGATTCTTGCCCAAGTGGCCAGGTCAAAAGGTCGGTTCTGCCATCCGTACCTAGACGACTGGTTACTAAGAGCTCTATCGCAATCCCTGAGTCAGATAGCTACACAAGAAGTGATAGACATTCTGATCACTCTAGGGTGGATAGTCAATCTCAAGAAGTCAGATCTGAGCCCTACTCAGAATCTAGTCTTCCTAGGGGCGAATTTCAACACAGTGAGCGGACTTATATCTCTATCACAATATCGCATAGTCAAGGTCAGAAGTGTTACTTCCCAGTTCCTTCTGTCCACAAGACACACTGCTCGTACATGGCTCCAGTTACTGGGCAACATGGCGGCGACAGTGGATGTGGTTTGGCGGGCGTGCTTGAGAATGAGACCCATTGAACATGTCGGGGTTGAGATCAAACTGCATATCAATGTGCTAGAACTGAGAGCGGTCAGGTTGGTGTTCCATTGCTTCCTGGATCTGCTTCATGGCCAAGTGGTTCGTCTAGAGATGGAAACCAAACGGCGATGACTTACAACCGGAAGAAGGGGGAACGGTGTCTCCGTCGCTTCTCCAAGAGGCGTGGCAGTTCCTACTATGGTGCGACTCTCACGATATCAGGGTGCTACCTGTTTATCTCCCGGGGGTGGACAACGTCTGTGCGGACGCTCTGTCTCGCCGAATCCTCGCTCCTCACGAGTGGAGGCTCGACCCGGGGATATTCGGGATTATCTCCCAGTTATACGGGTCGTTCCAGGTGGATCTGTTTGCGTCTGGGGTGAATCACCAGACACCAACGTTCTGCTGCCGAGTCCCCGACCCAAGGTCGGTGGAACCGGACGCCTTCCAGCTAGATTGGACGGACAGAGTTCTGTGGGCATTCCCCCCAGTACCTCTGATTTCCAAGGTCCTGTCTCAGCTAGCCACTCAGCCTGCGCGACTCCTTGTGCTCCTGGCACCTCTTTGGTCTGCGCAGAGTTGGTTTCCAGTAATACTCAGGTTTCTGGCTCAGCCTCCTGTTCTATTACCTTTACGACCGGACCTCCTATCCCAGAACGGGGCACTCCACCCGAATCCCAGGATTCAGTGGATGGCTTGGCCACTGTCAGGAATCGCCTCCAGAAGAGCGGTATTCCTGCACGAGTTGCAGACACAATACTGGCTTTTCACGGAGGGATTTGACAAACGTTCAGTACGAGGATAGATGGGCCTGCTATGCACGCTGGTGTGTCTATGGAGGGATTGCAGATCCCTTTTCTGCAGATCTCGTAGCCGTGCTTGAGGTTCTCCAGTCGTGACTAGATGACGGCCTGGCCGCATCGACAGTCCAGGGGTCGACGGGGCACTTCTGGGTGCACACCTATTAGTGCAGCGCTTTTTAGTAGGTGTGGACAGGATCTGACCGCCTGTCCAGCAGATCAGTCCTCCTTGGGACTTGTCAACCATTCTTCATTGGCTGTCAGGTCCTTCCTTTCGGGATCTGTCGACTCTCTCTCTTCAGCTGTTGAGCTGGAAGATGGCGTTCCTTGTGGCGGTAACGTCCAGCAGACGGATAGGCGACATTCATGCAATGTCAGCCGATCCCAAACTAACTGTCTTCCACCGGGACAGGGTCAGTATTCGGCTGCCGGACTCTTACCGTCCTAAGGTCGCACACGCCTTCAACGTGACGGCTCCTATTGAGCTACCTGCTCTTTCACAGCCTTCCTCGTCGGGGACCACTGCAGAACTAACTATTTTGCTGTTATGGCGGTAGGAAGGCTGGCTCACCTGCGAGCAAACAAACTATCTCGAGTCGGATAGTGTCAACTATTTGTACTGCGTACACACTTCAAGGCAGGGACCCCCCTACCAGGTTGAAGGCTCTTCGGTTAGAGCAGTGGCTACGTCACAAGCGTACGCCGCAGCTCTGCCCATTGAGGAGATCTGCTTCGCGGCTATTTGGAGCCAGCCGAGCACGTTCATCAAACATTACCAATTCGACAAACACTCAAGCGAGCGTGCTGGGTTTGGTCAGTCAGTTCTCCGAACTGGGCAAAGTTCTACATCCCTAGCCGATTGAGCCTTCGAGATTTTAGACCGTCCTCCGGTTATACTGCTCAGTAATGGTCCGGTTTTTATCTTCTGCGGTCGATAAATATCAGTCTTTACTACTCGATAAAACTCGTATTTGCACCCGCACTCCTTCGATCCTCGGGGACCCTCTGGCCTAGCTCAGCGCGGGTTATAGTCTCTCGTGATCTACGCCCCTATATCACTTGTTCCAAAAAGTGTGTGTGTGTGGGGGGGGGTCGAGTTCTCGAATATGATAAGCCACAAATAATGGCTATTTCATTGTATATGGTCGACCACGCCCTGTCTCTAGCCCCCGCCTCTTGATGGTGGTGCCTCACGATAAGGTTGGTTCCAATTATTGAACTCTTTTTTATTCATTGAAATAATCAGAATACAATGTACTTATTTACGCTTGTTGCTGACAGATGCCACTTCCTAGATTATCTTTAGGAGTCTATCTTGATGCAATAAGTGCCCCAAGGAGGATTTAATCTGAAAGAGAATTTTACAAACCTGTAGAGGTTATGAATTCTCTGATGAAATCCTCCTTGGGGCACGGCCACCCACCTTCCCACATTCCGTCAGCATTAGACATATGGAAAGTGATTTGGGTGAGAGTTGCTCCCCTTAGTGTGACGCGCTGTGGAGGGTGAGGCCCCGTAAGGGTGGTCGTATATCATACAAAAACGAAGTTTTTTGTGAGGTAACATTTTTTATTAAGGAAAATGGTTACAACTATGTCATGTAGATTTTCTTGAGCAAGGAAAATGCAATAAGTGTTCCAAGGAGGATTTCATCAGAGAATTCATAACATCTACAGGTTTGTAAAAATTTTGAGAATAAGAAAGGACTAAATATTCTCTCTCAAATAAAGGAAGTCTCCACAGGAAGGCAAAAAGAAAGAGAATGATGAGGCAGTCTATGGACCAGTTCGAGGACAGCGTGCTGCAGGAGATCTGGGTGCATAACCTAGATACTGGTGTGGTCGTCATGGTGATGCATGGGTTGCAGGGCGAATGAAGCTTAGAAGCTGGAAACTTTGATCAAAGACACTTCCACACAAGGGATTGAAAAAAGGAATGCAAAGAGTGAGATAGGAAAAGTTTAAAAATTAAGTCAAAGGTCAAGGCTAGCATTTAGCTGTTTATTAAACATGGTTATATCATTGTCAGTTTCTGAGCAGGGTTACCTTTCTACAGGCATGAAACTTTATACTTGCATGTATCTTGTCAAATCCTTCCACATCTATTGTTGGTGCGATGTCCATCAAAGGTCAAGATAATCTTTGACTTCATTGTGAAACATTGCTGTATCATATATTGCGAGTTACTGTTGCGCTGTTACTTGTACAACCCTGAGACTTGGGCAATTGTTGGATCTTAAAGGTATTGTCTTGATTAAAGGGCCAGTATGTTGACTGTTCTGAAGCAAACAATAGCCTTAGCTTACTTGGCTCTGCTTGCTTTATTTTGTGAGAGAAGTTACATATTGAAAGAAACTATTGCGATAACTATTGATATTGCAAGCAACTATTGCGATAAATATTGATAGTTTTCAGTGTATCATTTTAGATGGATTTTAGAGTTGAATTAAATCTTGGAACTGAAGTTTCCTTTAAATGTGATAGGGGGGCACGCCAGAAACTTATGATTGTGGGTTCGAATCCTGGTTCGCCCCAATTATGTTTCCAGGTTTGTCAGCACCATACCCGTGCTCGTGGGTTTCACCGAAGTGGTAAACGTCTGAGACCTGCATCACTTCGAGCTTTCCTCCCACATTAAGCTGACACGCCGTGATATAACTGGAATACTGTTAAAAGTGGCATTAAACCCAACTCACTCACTCACTCACTCAATTTGAATGTGATAACAATAACAACAAATAAAAAGTAAAGTTTGAGATATGACTGATTTGTTGTTTTTTTACCCTAATAATTTAAGAAAAAGAAAATTCATGTGTAAAATAATACCACTCATGATAATCAAAAGAAAAACAAATTTGTACAGCATTGCATGTAATTAATTGATGTATTTAATACAATCGAAACTATCGACATTCCTACCTGAAATCGATACTATTGATGGGAAACTGATTTAACAATCGATTTATTGACTTTAAGTGCTTCCCAATAGCAATATATCGATATTTGGATTTATCGTGACACTCTACTCAGAACCGTCGAGATACTGGCACTTTATGGTCAAGGTCAGGAAGTGATGTTTATGGACTGGTAGTACATGTATGGTGGTACATAAAGATTTTTAAGCTTTGAGAATATGGCGGTGATGTGGATGCTTCAGTTTTTGCAAGTAAATGCAAACACCTCAAGGTAAATTCCAAGCTGTGCTTACTAACTTGGGTCTTGGTGGATTCTTCTTAAGATATTCTGCAAGTGAAAAAAATGAGTTTTAGTTTTTATTTGTTTAACATTAGTATAGTATGACTCTATATTTTAGCGGGCTTTATATTATTGCGGTATCGGTAAATCTCGTTATCCACACCCCCTGTCAACCTTTTAGCTATGCAAATCTAAGCAAAATATTTCATCTCTCATTCGAATAAAGGACTCATTGTGGTATGTCACAGCTACTCGTAAGTACAGACGTAAACTTTTTTATGATTGTTTCTGGAATGTTCTTGAAGTGGAATTACCCGTACCTCCATTCAAAATTGATAAGAAAAGAACCCATTTGTTTGGATGAAGTCCCTTGACCCAACCTTGGTCGTATGCATAATGATTACGCATAATCCAAAACAGGAAGTGATGTAAACCACATATTCCACATGTATCACACAACAAAATAGTGATACCATGATAAAATAGAGTTGCCGTCCTTGCTAATGACAGGTATTTTGTTTACCAAACTCGGTAAAGAAAATCAGCATCGATCAATCCTATTTGATGTGTCATAAATGTTGAACAAAGAACAACAATCTCATTAAAATCAGATCTTAGTTTTCGCTATCGCTAAACAAAGATCTGAGGACATCCCTTCACAGGTCACGTCAGAACAACCTTTCGCAAACTTTGACCGACCAATGAAATGACTGACATGAAATCGATATTAGCCAATCAGAAGGCAGCTATCTTGAGCTTTACAACTCTAGCGACTATGCTTCGAAACATATTCTGACGTATTCTCAATCAATTATTTTTAAACTGATCAAAAGATCATTCTGGAATGGCTTATAGTTGGTCTAGATTGTATGGATATAATCATAAAACCCGTAACTGTCGTTCGGAATACCCTCTGTTAAATATTCCGGGGTTGCATAATTAGAAAACACATTCTCTGACTGTCACTTTCATGATCTGGTAAGCGACGCTCTGATTGGTTGGATGAAAGGTCGTTCTGATGTGACCCATAATGGGATGTCCTCAGATCTTTGCTTAGCGGTAGCAAGAACTAAGATCTGATTTTAATGAGATTGAAAGAACATGAAACAGTTTGCCTATGACATATTTAGGCTAATAGGTCAGTAAACGTACGCCATTACGATCCATCATAAATTATCGGCAACAAAGCAGTTTTCTCTACCATCTGCTCAACATTAATGTGCTATGGCGCGACCGCTGTCTTGCGATACTGTTACCATGACTCACACTCAAGCTTTACGATCCAAAACCCCTTTTCGGTCGTAGGGACACTTTTACATATTTACGATCCAACACCCCTTTTCAGTCCTTAGGGTTAGCTTGCTTAGGGCATGGGTTAGCCATAAATTCTTACCTTTTCACGCGTTAATCCGGTTAATCCGATTGGTCGGTCATGTTCACATGAACAATGGAGGGTGTGGTTTCAAGACAAGATGAATGGGAATACGGACCGTGACGTCACACGCGTGTGCAATTCATTGTTTACTTAATTACGCATGCGTGTTAATGGGGTGCGAATGACCCGTTAAAAGAGCACTTATTACATGTGATAGCGCTCGTGGTCCAGTGATAGAGCATGAGCCGGCGAATCGCGTTCGAGCCACAGCGCTAATATGATCTGAAAAAGTGCGCCCGGTAAAGTGCACTACTGTGGTAATATAGCGTACCATACTACCTTGGCATTGTAATTCACCGAAATGGTTGAGAATAAGAGACGAATATAGCGATTTGTTTCAGTCATCAGGTGATATGGTGTGCGCGTTGTGTGATTTACATACTCGATACGATTATTTTCCTCGTTTTCAAGGAACAATGATGAAACTTGACAATTATTTCTGTTTCATGATAGGTATCTAAAGTATCACAGGATAAGGATAATTCATTTTGTGTTCTTACCCTCCTTGTCTTTTTGTAAATAAAACCTATTTAATCGGGCAAGTTGTTTTTCTTCGTTCCTTGCCATTACTACAGTTGTCTCCCTTTATTTATTCATGTGTAGTTTCGTATTATATGTTTCACTTGCTATTCGCGTACGTATCACATTCAAATGGAAAATCTCAACTCGATGGAATATTGATTTGATTAATAATCAACTTGACCTATCAGCACAATGAATAAAGAAGGTGTTGATTTCCATATAATCCATGTAAGGTAAAGCTACCAGTGGTTGAGTATCATGGCCGCCGAATGGTGTATACCTATGTGATAGCAGATAATATATTTCTATTTTAAACAAATCACAACTGTGAAGTCCCCAAACAAGTTCTTAAGATATGTCTGCGTCTATGTCTACACCCCAGGTAAGTAATTTCTTTGTGAAATCTGTGGGACGTGTCGTTTCTAACCTGGCAAAGACTTGTACGCATTTTTTGGTTTCGCCAAAATTTTGTCCCGTGCCTGAAAACATATTAGGGTAAATACATAAAATTGCGGAATTGCATTGAAAATGTATGGGCGGCCATTTGGTAAAAAAATACAAAGTTTAAAAAATGACAAAAGTACGCAATAAAGATCAAATATTACGAATAAAGAACTAAATGTTACTACTAAAGGTCAAAATACAAAACAAACAGACGAGGGTTAACCCTCTTGGTGCCACGGGACCATATATGGTCCCTCACTTTTCACACCCGCATAGTGCCAGGGGATCATATATGGTCCCGAGAAAATGCCCTTTTTAAACTGTGAATTTTTATATTTAACGCTGAGTGCGCAAAGTCAAAACTATAACCACCATCACCCCAATCATCTTAGCTTTAACATCGTGTAACTCATACTTTGTACAATGCTTCGGATTGCGACATATGGCGAGATTAGTAAAGTGGCTACCGCTCTGCTCCGCCTTTTTCTGCCATGTTTGAACACCAAGCGAATGATGGCGAATTTTGATTATGCACCCATGTCACAAACACTTAAATATTTTCAGAAAAAATCCTTGTTCATAAGAAAAAATATGACCTGAGTGGTCAGAAAGACATATTTTTCCCAACTGTATACTTATTCACGTAAAAACAATTCTGTTCACTCCTTTATGAACAAGTTTATTTACAAGTTTTGTATATTTTTATCGACTATCGGTAATGGCGGAATGGTCGGTACTCATGAGAAAACGACAGTGTATGTTTCCATTACATTTATGAAGTTCATTGAATGAAATTATGACCATCATCACCCTAATCATCTCAACGTTAATATCGTGTAACTCATATTTTATGCAGTGCTACGGATTGCGAAATATGGCAAGATTAGTAATGTGGTTACCGCGCTTCTCGATCTTTTTCTGCCATGTTGAACTTCATGCGAATGAAGGCAATTTTGTATTATGCACCCATGTCACATACACATAACTATTATTATATCAGACAGCCAATTTGAAAAAGAAATCTGATCGGACTGGTCAGAAGGATTTACTAGTCCCCACTACAGTTATTGGCGTAAGAGTACTAGTTAACGTTTAGTCGGCCACTTAAGTTTTTTGTTCAAGTATTGCATTTATTTATCGACTGTGTCATGGCGGTTTAGCACGGCGCTAGAGACAGAACGACAGTGCAGATTGTCTTTTTGTTTATGATGCTGATTTACAGAAAATATTCAATTCAAAGATATAGAAAGATAGTTATAATCGTTAATATTACGATGGTATAGTGTATATTTATGGGCAGGAGGTTCATGATCAAAACCTAAACATTGAATGGCCAAGCGCGAAGTGATCGACAGGGCACGTTATATCATATCTGTGCTGTGATTTCTTGTTTACCGGTTGTCCTACATACTCGCCCGTTCAGACAAATAAATGCTACTTTTTTCATATGAAATGACTAAGAGACATGTGTGATTGCTCAAACTACCTGACCGTGTGAGTGACTTGCCCTAACTGTTTCACATTTTGTCGCAAATTGAGATTTCAAAAGTGTGGCCACGACATCTAACGTGAGTCGACGCCATATTGTAAACAAATTGTGTCAAGGTCGGTTCCACACGTGGTAGCTCGGCCACTGTTTCTGTCGATGGTACACGCGATACAAGCATAATGCAACTACTGAAAACATCAACATAACTTCTACAATGATGACATCAATACCTTTTTGTATTTGGATTAACCGCTTATGGATACGCTGTGCTGTTAAGTTCGATTTGGATTTGTTTTTCCTTTCATTGAAACTGTGATAATGGCACTGTGATTGGTTTGCTGAAATAGTATTTTCCATGAGTCTAATGTACATGGTACATGCTGTGATTGTAGAAGATAATTGATAACCAATTGTGAATGCATATATATCATCAAATACACATTACTAATCCCTTCAGAAAATGGAATATATTATAGCTCGTTTTCAAACATTCTGCCATGGATATTAGATCAAAAATTAATATTAGATTTACAAATTATTTATGTACACTGTACTCTCGATTAACGTATGATAATCTATTGCAAGTCTTCAACTCTTATTTGATATGTCATCTGAAATGTCAGCAATGAGTAAAATTAATTTTATTTCGTTACAATCTGCAATTTTATTCAAATAGGCTAATAGACGGTCGGTGATTTCCCGCTGCTGTGAATTTGTCATCTGGACAGGTGCATGTGATTTGACCTCGCGTGTTGTGACGTGGATGACGTCACATGAAACAGCTGATCTAATGTTGTGGTAGTATAATGGATACACGTGGTTTCATTTTCCAAATAACAATATTCTCTTTGACTGAACTAGAAAGCATATTTAGTACATCACGATTGGAATATATCTACGGCGACCGACGAGTGAGTGAGACCGCTTATCATTTGACTAACAGTGTTAGAATATTTGGGGCAGTTTTCTAATTTTGGTATGTTGACATGTGCTTTTCATATCTGTTTGAAGGCTTGATATTCCAAAAATATAATGTGCATTTAGTTGAGTACAGTGAGAAAGCTGTCAAAATGGATCCAATATTAAACAACCTAGATTTTTAATATTTTAGCTTCATCTATTGGAATCTCGAATGGTTCAATTTATAACATAAACAGTAAAAGTAATTAGATCTACCCACAAAATATATAGATAATCAATTTCTGAAAGACAAAAAGTTTTCAGTGTAAATGTGATTTCGTTTTGATGTTTTATATAGTTATATTTATGTCTTTTGTCACTTTGCATTATCTAAATTACAAAATACTTCAACCAGTGACATATAGTAGTAATTAGATTCTACTTTGTTTTGTATCCTAAGTATGAAATAGATTTTTTTTTAAATAAATATTTGTCAAAGAGCAAAATCAGTGCATTCTTTTGGGTTTTTTTTCACCATTTTAATTTGTGTATCTTCCCTCCAAGCTGTGGTTTAGCTAGGCCAAAATTAAGAAAAAAAGGAAAGACATAATAAACCATTTTTATTAAAGATTTTTCTAGTTAAATTTTCGAAGTTCAATACCTAGAATATATTTTTCCTTTTATGACAAATAATTCCATTACTTTCATTGACCTACGATCATTATCTATTTCAAACTTTTCCTTTTGTAGAATGGCTATGGAATGGGAAACTAGTGGAAATAAACTATCACGTATGTCCTTACATGTACATGTACATACCTAGCTAGGTGTAAATACACTTCTGAAGTCGTATTTATAAATCAAATGAATAAATGAAAGAAAAAGTGGTATTTCATGGACTGGCCATACAAGTATATTTTGAGCAAAGGTCTAAGTTAGGCAGCCAAGTGCGAAATACAAGCTGATACGAGGATGTATGTTTTCTGGTGGTCATAGTGAAACAATGACATATGGCGCCCGAGTTGCGAGTGATCGAAAATAGGTTTGTTGAATATATTTGCTGCCCATGAAAACGTTTCAACAATTTTGATTGAATCTACATGTACTTACTCTTGGGTGGTGTTACGTTAGTATAATCTTGTTAATTATTAAGAAATAATAATGATGCCCGATATTGAGCGATGTCAATTTGAGTATTGTTAGGGCTGTTTAGCGATCTTTCACATTTTGTCCTTTGAAAATGTACGATGTCAATTACCCCGAAATTGTTTTTATCACTAATAAAAGAGCACGTTCATTGAAACATACATGGACGTAACCGGGATTTCTTCAAGATATACATTCCAAACTGTCATTCGTTTTGTGACATAATCTTTGAAACAGTCTGCGTATGAATTAATCACGACCACTTCCGTCAATTTTGTTTTGACGTCAAAAACACGCACAATTTCCTCGGGATTTTTTATCGGTAAATATAACTCGCGGAAAATTCTCAGTGAATGTGTACTTCAACATAAATATCATATGTCTATGATATCACTGTTAGGACATGTACTTGCCAATGATATGAATTATTGGTCATTTAGATTTCAAACAAGGGCGCTTACTTGACTTTGCTTGCCATATTCGGGTGCTTCCATATTACGATTAATGAGGAAAAGTAGGAAACTTATAATACCAGCACGTTTATTGATGGCTGGGCAGTGCATAGATCTTTTGGATATGGTGACTTTAGATACTGTTGGAAAGACAATCAACTCGAGTTGCATGTTATTCAATTTGGTTACACTGTGTGAAGAAATAAAGACGTTGCAACACTTTTGATACAATGTATACGTTTGTGTAACCGCGACATCAGCACAGTGCGGCACTGAGCGGTTTGCAGGCTGACTGATGTCCAGGCACCATGAGGGTTAAACATACACAGTTGAAATAAATGTCAAAAGTACGCAATATTAATAGTCAAATGTTACGAAAAGACGTCATAAGAAAAGAAAGATCAATGTGTACGAAAGAACGTCAGTGAGCACGAAAGGATGTTTTCAATAAAGAACGTCAGTGAGCACGAAAGGACGTTGACAATAAAGAATGATAGATGGCGCTGCAATTTGTAAAACATTCCGAGTTTAATCGGCTTGTTCGGTGTATATGATAACTGCCAAGCTCCTTCCCAGCGTGTGACACCTTCGTTACACTCTCGGTAACATAGAGACTTCCGCGAACGGACTATCGCTGTCAGGAGCTTGGATAACTGCATGCCGAGGTGCACAATGTATATGTCATTCCTCGTGCACTCACCGTCTGACGTCACACATATATATACATGTGTAATCCAACATCTGCCTAACATTAGTACATGTATTTTGTATACAACTTTCAAACGCACATTTTAATCAACTTACAAGTTGTCTTTGTCACAAATATAAATGTGGATGTAAACAAGCGAAATAAATATGGTTTTTAAACGAACGCTGGCGTCATAGATGAAAATCGATTTTCTTTACTTATGGTGAGCTATTTTTCCTAACGAATGTGTAAGTTATACATATGCATACAAATCCATTTGATATATATATATATATTTGTTCAGATATTAGGCAGCATTTTGTTCGCACACAGTTTCCGAAAAGCTGTTAAAAATAAAACAAATGATCTATTTTCAGATGAAAATGTGCGTCTGAAACAAAAATCAGCATCATTACACCCTAGTGTTGCACCAAGCATGAACAGTTATTGGTTCATTGTAGATGAATCCTAGATTAGCGTTAAGTGAGTGTTTTTTGAAGGTTGTATACAAAATACATGTACTAATGTTAGGCAGATGTTGGATTACACAGTATACTGTATTTGTGAAAAGGCCCTTTAGCGGTGACAAAGCTTAAACGCAACAAGTTTATACACAATGTGTTCATTATACATTATAAATACATGTATATATATGAGTGACGTCAGACGGTGAGTGCACGAGGAATGACGTAATACATTGTGCACCTCGGCATGCAGTTATCATATACTATACACGGCGGAACAAGCCGATTAAACTTGGAATGTTTTACAAATTGCAGCGCCATCTGGCGTTCTTTATTGTCAACGTCCTTTCGTGCTCACTGACGTTCTTTCGTACACATTGTTCTTTCTTTTCTTATGACGTCTTTTCGTAACATTTGACTATTAATATTGCGTACTTTTGACATTTATTTCAACTGTGTATGTTTAACCCTCGTCTGTTTGTTTTGTATTATGACCTTTAGTAGTAACATTTAGTTCCTCTATTCGTAATATTTGACCTTAATTGCATACTTTTGTCCTTTTTTTCAACTGAATGGCCGCCCATAAAAATGTTCCGACCCTGTAGTGACAAGTTCCGGTTGACAGGAACAAATGTTCGGGGGTGTTTATGAACAATGCTCCTTTATATTGTTAATGTGCTACATGAAAAACATGGAAAGTAAGATCACAGGACCATGTAACTAATAATTATAATTCACAAAATCGCAAAAAAAAGTCGTAGATGAGGATCAAGGTTTCGGAGTATATACTTACTCCTTCATCAGGTGAATAAATGCTATGAAGCAGAGAGCATATATATGGACCTGTAAGAACAACAAAAATAATAAGACAATAAAGGTCGAAACTTAACAAGGGAAGCCAACAGTTAATTGGCGCTGATAGGTAAAGCCACCTATTAGCAGCAGTTAAATGTTGGCTTTCCTTGTTACAGTATCTATCAGCAACCATTAAGTTTTCTTTGTTCAACAACACCAAATGACCAACAACTTGTTGGTCATTTGGTGTTCCTCTACAACTTCTGTTAATTTATTTATGTATTGGTTCCAAGATTTCTCTGTTTTTCCTATTGAAAATATCTTTGACCTTGTCAATATCTTCAGGATTAAGTTAATGATGTGTGTGTCAGGTTCTGTCATACAAGAAGGAATTAACTTATTTATTCAACATTGAGGCCACATTTTTTTGATTTTATGTTTCACAGATTCATTTCAGCTTTTCCACACAAGGTGGTCGAAATAAAAATAAATAGCTATGTCAATCATTATTTATTTAAATCAAAGTCATTCTGCCATGAAGTAAAACTGCAGCTGGCTTCTTGAATCACTGATAGTGATGTAGACATGTTATTTATATGTAACGTTTTATGTTGTAAAAGAGTCAATATTACAATCTGGAGACATAATAAAAAATCGACTAACTTGGTCACTGCATTGCAACAAAGCCACACTGCAAGCCAAAAAGATTTTAATTGGCATTTTACAAAACCTAAAACCCCTTGGAAATATTAGCTATGAAACATTCTCTAAGATTTTCGACACTAAGATCAGTCCTATTCTACTCTATGGTGCTGAAGTCTGGGGCCTAGAGAACTATTATACAATAGAGAAGGTACATCTATTTACGTAAAAAAGATTTTTAGGAGTAAATTCCAACACTCCAAATGTTACAGTTTACGGGGAATGTGGGAGTTACCCAATGTATATATTTAGTTACATAAACACATGATAAAAGTAATAAAATATTGGATAAAATTGCTTAAAATGCCAAATACCAGATTCCCAAAGAAATGCTATAACATGATGATTCTTTACGATAGCAGAGGTAAAAATAACTGGGCCTCGGGTGTCAAAAAGATACTCCAATCTTGTGGGTATGAGTACATTTGGAGAGAGCAACATGTAACAGTACCAGATCGTTTCATATATAATTTAAGACAAAGGCTAAAAGATATGTATTTTCAAAAGTGGTATTCTTCACTAGGTTTACACAATAAGTTAAAGCATTACACCTGTTTTAAATCATTCATTCTGACCGTAAAATATCTTTTGGATATAAATGTTAAGAAATTCCGAACAGCACTCTCCCGTTTCAGATGTAGTTCTCATGACCTTCTTATAGAAAAAGGTAGACATTTAGCGATACCAAGGGAAAACAGATTGTGTAAATATTGTACTTGCCAAGAGATAGAAGATGAATACCATTTTTTGCTAGTCTGTCCATTGTATGCAAATATCAGAAAAGAATACATGTATACAAAAATATTTTTATCTGAATCCTAGAATAGACAAATTTTATATCCTCATGTCATCTCAAAATGAAACAGTCACAAAATATCTTTCAATGTACATATATCATGCAATGAACATCAGATCCTCTGCATTATAGATGTGATATTTTGTTACAATATAAGTAATTCCTATTGCACCCATTGCTACTGTATGTATATATGTACTATAAGCCTATGGCCTTTTCAGTACTTGAAATAAAGATTGATTGATTAATTGAATAAAAATAAATATTTGGATGTTTAAATTATTTCTTTTCCATCTGCTTTTCAGTAGAGGCACCAGGCCCGTGAAACAAAAAATAATAAACGCGTGGCCCAACTTTTGAACTGCTCTTCAATCATGCTAATCATTGACCAAACAATATACCTTGTATTTGTAGGCTAAAATCTGGGTGTTAATGGTGTTGCCAAAATGGGATTTGAGTCATGAACCTTTAGAGCAACACAGGTGATCCCACACAAACATGGTATATCTGGATTATCATCCAGTGGATGAGTTGCTGACATGTTATGAGTTACATGTCATTCAGTGGATGAGCATCTTCCCGAGGCAAGAGAGTTAACTGGCTATAAAAGTCCAGTTTCCACCCTTGCTGAACTTGGCTGGTATTATGGAGTTACATTTTGGATGGACAACTGTCGTGCAGATTTCGGTTGATTGCAGGATTTGCAAGGCATGTGCACTGCCAACTCGTTGTCAGCAGATATTTTCCAAATCTTTTCATGTTTTTAATCAAGGTGCTCACGTGATTATAGATCATTTTGCGATGTAAGACCCGTTTTATCACAATATAGATCTTGATTATCGATCAAATCGTCCTGACTGGGCGCCACCATTTTGTGTGAAGCAAACGCAAGTGATACTAGAGGTGGAATCTGATTGGTCCATAGGAGAGGCTTAGAGGGGACATAACTGGTAATAGCCACTGGTGGCGCTACCATCGAGCCCAGTAATTCCAGCCTAGTTTGGCAAGGGTGGAAACTGGACTTTTAATGTCAGTTAACTCTCTTGCCTCGGGAAGATGGTGGATGAGATGATTATATATAATAAATATATTCTAATGGCTATGTGATTGACTAATCCTGATGTTTCAGACCTCAACCTCTGATGTCCAGGAACATGTTGTCAGAGTACCAAGGTTTGTTTTTTGTACAGTTACATTGATGGTTTGTTTTCTCCTGCTTACTCCAGACAAGACTTCACCTGCTAAATGTACATATTTGGTATTATTTCTCAAACAATCATCTCCAAAAGAGTTAAGGTAAGTTTCATAATCATATTAAATTTATCATATGTTCATTCTTGTGAGAAGCAGTGTGATGTTTTCAGATTATGTAACTTTTTAAACTCATCCTATCTCACTCTATGCCTTTCTTCTTTCTCCTTTGATACTATGTGGAAACGTTCTTGAACCATGTTTCTAAAACAAAAGGGGGCACGGGTGGCTGTCGTCTAAGGCGCCATGATTCGCTGAGCAGAGTTGCATCCTTTGGGCACACCAGAAACCTATGATTGTGGGTTCAAATTCCTGTTTGCCCCGATTATGTCTCTAGGTTTTTCAGCACCATACCCATGCTCGTGGGTTTCACCGAAGTGGTAAACGTCTGAGACCTGCATCACTTCGGGCTTTCCTCCCACATTAAGCTGACACGCTGCGATATAACTGGAATGCTGTTAAAAGCAGAGTTAAACTCAACTCACTCACTCTAAGACTAAAACATTAATATTAACCCGAACACACCCCAGCATATCTGTTATTATGACCAACAACTGGGTCAATTACGTGCTCTTGTGCATGGTAACCTTTGACCACATGCCTCACTCATTCTCTTTCTAATTGCCACTGTGTGTGAGTGAGTATTGTTTTACGCCGCTTTTAGCAATATTCCAGCAATATCACGGCGGGGGACACCAGAAATGGGCTTCACACATTGTACCCATGTCGGGAATCGAACCTGGGTCTTCGGCGTGACGAGCGAACGCTTTAACCACTAGGCTACCCGACCGCCCCGCCACTGTGTGTGGAAGGGTTTCTTGGACCTAGAGAATATATTTTAAAATTTCTTTTTGAGACTTGATTTGCGGGCATCTGTCCGGAGAGCGGAAGGTCTGGGGTTTAATTCGCGTCTGCATCATACCAAAAGACGTTAAAAGATGGTACTTGTTGTTACCCTGTCTGGCGCTCGGCATGATTAAGGTGCTAAAACAAGGACTCAGCTGGTCGACTCGGACTGACCTCTTTATAGCGATTATCCTCCAACTCGCCCCCACCCCCCAACCCCCGAAGGATCGACGTTCTTCACCAAACTTGGATCAGGAAAGTCACCGTTTACAAAGCTGTTCCTGATCAGTTCACGAATCTCCAGATCGTACTCCTCCCAGTTCGGGTAAGCCAGTATCTCATGCACTGATCCTTCCTACTAGTTGGCCCCCTGAGACCAAAGACAGAATGGGGAATCCTGTGCCTCAGCAGAGGGCTTCAAACCCACTGATCCTTACTCCGTTCTCCATTGAATTGCTGACAATTTGCAACTACGATGAACCACTTCAGCGGTGGACTGACTTACAGGGTTTGTGGTACCATCGGCCAGTTCTTCAAATATTACGCTCCCTCCAAGCCATGTATTATTGGACATCTCATCTTAGCTGAATAAGGTCTTCACCTCATTCGGTCGATTAGGTTATAGACTTTAAGTTCCTCGCTTCACCCTTGAGCACTGTTGAGGGCACTGCCAGGCATGGAATGTGACATGGATTTGATAGTGGCTTTTTCACCTTTTCTCAGAAACATTCGTGTTTGTCATACAGTTTTGAGGATCGGGACCTCACACATCTGGATACCACAATATGACACACACTACCGCTCATCTGAACTATTCTGTTGGCAACAGAAGCTCTCAAGAGGATGCTTTTGTTAGAGGCACAGTACTTATACTGTACAGGATATATAGAGGATAAGCTTACTAACTTCCTGGATCTTTTATCCCATCACACTGGTGCTCAACATCGGCTCAGGATGACTAGTTCAAGGCCAAGTTATACTAACCCCCATGGTCATCACGTACCTTGTTCGCAGAGGGGATAGAGCAGGTCAGAGAAGGACAACAATTTACAAGTGATTGTAGATCTTCTTCACCTACAGAAACGTCACTTAGAAGACTGCAAAAAGAAAGATTGTAACTACCCTTGGTTTGTGCCTGACAAACAAGATTTGAGGGATTGTATCTCCTCTCGTGCTAATCCTTTTCGTGTACATGGAAGAGGATGTAGAAGACAACTGGGATCCAGGGCATCCAGACGTTCGGTCACCTTTACTGGACCTAAGGGCACTTGAGAGTCTTCCAGAGGAGGAGACTCTACAGATAAGTGACTCCCCTCCAATACGGCCACTGATCTCCCGACCACCAACTACGCTCCATCCGAAAGACAGTCTAAAGTTCCGGCTGATCTTGAACTTGAAGGTTTTCAGAGCGATGAATTTTTTCAGTCCCATGGCTGTTTACCCGCACTACATGGCCCATCATTAAATTCCTACATCTTTGCGGGATTGTGTTCGATTCTTATCTCGTTGAATGAATGCAAGTTCACGCTGATGCCGATATCCTACATCAACAGCTCAACTTCACATGCCTTTTTCTGCAGTAAATCGGCTGGTTGATCAAGGTTGACATGTCAGAGGTCGTGCCCACCCAACAACCCCAATTCATTGGGGCTGTCTTCAAAACTCAGCAAGGCATGATGTTCGTCCCTCACGATCATTGGGTAAAGATTCAACTTGTTCCACTGGCACTCAAACAACTGCTCCAGCTCCTCACTGTGTGAGGTCAAATGCATCTACTTCCACTTCAATACTTTTTCGCAACCCTTTATCAGGATTGACGATTGTCAGACACAGATTTCTCTACCATTTCATCTCCACCCACATCTACAGTGGTTAGTTGCAACAAAATTTTACAGTGTCATCTCTTTAAGGCTCCTTGTCCCGTTCTTTCATCTGTTTGTCAATGCCTCAACCGTGGGGTGGGGAGTGCACTATCCTGATCTCCAAGCAGCAGGGCGGTTGTCCGATGAAAAATTGTTGCCTTCACATCAGCAGCTTAGAATTCAAGGCTGTCATTCTAGCAGTGTCGCATTGGTCAGAGCTCCTCTCACCTCATGGTAAAGTCTGACAACACTGCAGTAGTGTGGTACATGAACAGAACGTGATCCATGAAGTCAATGTTGTTCTTCCAGCTCATTGACTCCCACAACATACACGTCCAGGCACGTCACATTCCTGGGGACACCAACATGATAGCAGACTCCCTGTCCAGGCCATCACCAACAGAGTTATCCCTGCACCTGATGCTGTTCCGGTGGGTTTGCCATCTGTACTGGGTCCCAGAGATAGACCCCTTCAACGTTCAGCGCTTCGTGTCACCCATCCCCGTTCCTCACGCTTGGCATCAGGATGCATTGTAAATCCTGTGGGAGGGCCTCAATGCCTACACTTTTCCTCTTACATTCCTTCTTCCTCAGGCCCTGCAGAAGATAGAAGCCACCAGTTACCTGTCTCTGATTTTGGTCACCTTATTGGTTCCCCACCTTGCTATGGCTTGCCGATAGACGATTCCACTCAGCATCGATCGTCTACTTCAACTTCACTCTCAGTGGTTCCATGTGTCCCTTGCAACGCACCATCTATGCGTCTAGCACATCTGCAGAACTACCTTATCGCTATAGGCTACTCCAAGCGGGTAGTGAAGACTATCACTGCAGCTCACGTTTGTCTACCTCTCATGTTAACGATCACAAGTGGACAGCCTTTGAGAATTATTGTCATGCTCATGACATTTCCACTCCTACCTCGGCTTCACCTAAGCAAATCCCTGAGGATTTACATCATCTACGACCTACACGTAAGCTTAAAGGCTCTACTTTAGCCACCTACCTAGCATCGATTAACAACTTCCAGTGCAATGGTCTCTACTGTTCATCTACCAATTGCTCATCCACTTACACAAATCCTCACATTTCCGGCCCTTTGTGGGACCTCCTACAACATTTGATGTCCAGTGATTGTGAGCCATTGGTGAATAAAGACTTTGAGACAGTAACACTGAAGACAGTGTTTCTTTTGGCTTTGGCTACTGTTGCTTGGGTAAGGGACCAGTTTAAGTGATTCCGAGATGGAAGGGCGTTCCTTGGCCTTCATTGGGATTTTTGGCAAAAAGTAAGTTTCCCGGCCAACCTGATCGATTATTTACAATTCCTATGCTTATTTGTCCTTAGGATCAGATGCCCAGAAAGATCTCTCCCTTTGCCCAGTTTGAGCACTGCATCGGTTTCTGGCGGCTTCTCGTCAACATGGACGTTCACGGAAGAGACTATTCATTTCGCTGTCAACTGTCAACTCAAATTTCCCGTACCACAATCTATTTTCGGCTTTGCTCTATCATACTTTGAGTGTATACATTTGCTGGGCTGCCTCCACCTACAACGTCTAACCCTAATGAAACCCGACCAGTTGCTTCAACAGTGGCCTCACACAGTTCATGCACCATTTCTGCGATCATGGAAGGGTGCTTCTGGAAGTTCGACACAGTTTTCGCCTCTCATTACCTTCACGACATCTCAGTCAAAGCTGTTCTGGGTTTTTTACAAGTTTGGCCCTTTGGTTCTGGCGCAACAACTGTCACATTCCAGCAAATGCAGTTAGATATGTCATATACTCATGACCCTTGCACTTGCTTATGATTGTGTATATGTAATAAAACTTTAAATGTGAACCTTGGTGTAGTATGTATTATTTATTGTTCGGGTTTCCCAGGCCAAGTCCCTTTCAAAGGATGGATAAACTCATCTGTAGAGACTATTAGTTTTCAACATTGAAGTCGCCGTAAGGCGTGGTTGTTACTAAAAATAGAACGGTGTCCCAAAACTTTATTCGACTCACCTCTGCCTTGAGTATTTGTGATGTAAGGTTTTGGTTCGAGGTCCTCTTATGGGTGTTGTCGATCATTCCTCTTCACATCCCGGTTCGGTTCATGCACTAGAATATGTTTGAAAACTTTGACGTAGCACTAAATGAGATACTGAACAGTCAGTCCATATTGTCCGTTGGAGATAGCTCTGTGACTAGTTTGAAGAATAGATATC